CTCCGTACTTTGAAGGCGGAAGTAAACTGAAGGGTGGGGGGCGACGTAGGAAGAAGCAGCTAACTCCGGGTCCGGAGAGAACCTCGCCCTCGACAGAGCCCATAGATCTGGAACAGGGGTCAAATGAGGGGTTGAATAATCAGGATGAAGAAGGATTGTTGTCACAAGCCAAGTCTAAGGAGAAGGAACGGGAGCGATCCCGCTCCCCTAAAAAACGAGGGGTGACGGTGGAGGGGCGGGAGAGGAGTGGAGAGTCTAGGAGGAAGTGGGTCTCCCCTGAACGTAAGCGGTTTGACGAGATGGTGGAGGAGGAAATGAGGGAGAAAGGAAAGGGAAAGGGTGTACAGGAGGAGGCGGCAGCTGATGAGATGGTGGAGGAGGAAATGAAGGAGAAAGGAAAGGTGGTGGAGAAAATGGGGGAGAAAAGGGTAAAGCACGATACCTCCGATTCAGAAGAAATGGTGCAGGATTCTGAGGACAGGGAGGATTCCCGATGATGGAAGAGGGGGGAAATTCGACAGATGGGGGAGAGGAGGAAATGGAGGATGAGGAGGGTATCAGTACAACAGCACAGGGGTCGCTCAGCGCAATACTGGCAACCGGAGACTGCCATGTGTGACCGATTATGTTGTGGTGGACGGAGGGGGGAATCAAAATTGTAACTAGAGGGGGAGCTGAATTGTTGACGTACGCGGCGAGGTCCCTCCCCAGGAATGCAAACATCGCCCGACAGGTTAGTCGGTGGGTGGGCTCAAATTACCGGGTTAGGATGCTGCCGAAGGTATCAGTGGGAAGATTTTTTAGGTGCCCACCTCAAGGGAAGGAGTATGGATTGTTGATGTTTTTCGTTGCAGTTACTCCTAGGCGGGCGGGCTCGTTGAACCTGGTACATAGGGAGGCAACATGGACGAGTTTTAACTAGGTCTTTGGTCCTCGGGCACGCCCAGCAGAGTCTAGAATTATATAGGAATTTACGGCAACTGTGTTGGCCAGGGTTAACATAATGCTGCCGAAGGAACAGAGGGTGGGCTCGACAAACTTTCAGAAGGCTCTGGGATGGTGGAGAGTTGGGGAGGTGGGTTAGATGTTCATGGGTTTAGACGATAGTAGTATAGGAACTGTGTGACTTATGGAGTGCCTAGAGGTTTCAACGCGCTCCCTCCCGGCGGTAGGAAGTAATTAGTTTGTGTGTTCTGTGAAATTTTGGCTGCAAATTTTGAGTGCGATGTCATTGGTTTTGATTGTATATAGTTGTGTTATTTTTCTTTTTGGGTTTTTGATCTTGTGGCCTTGGTAGACATGAATTGAGGGAATCTGATGGACCGGCGATCTCACCGGACAAAGTTGAAAGTGCTCTCATGGAATGTTTGGGGGCTTTCGACACGATCACTCAATCTGAAGCGATAGGAGCTACAGCGCACGGTTCGTAAGCAGCAAGTGGACGTGATCTGCCTCAGGAAACGAAGTTAGGGGAAGGGTTGTGTGTGCGCGACGCTCCTTGGTGGAAGGGGCCCCAGGTGTGGGCCCCGGCCCAGGGTCGAACAGACAGAGGAACAAGGGGGGGAGTGGCTATACTGATCTCCCCTAAATGTCGGGGCGAATTGGTGGATTGGTGTTGGGATGGACAAGGAAGATGGGCATGGGTGATCCTGCGATGGGGCCAGATCCGATGGTGTGTGGTCACGGTGTATGGACCGACGGATCCCCGGGAGCGCCGAGAGTTTTGGGGGGAGTTACAGTTGAGGCTCCCTGTCGCTGCGGGCTATGTGATTACGGCAGATTTCAATACGACTATCCAGACGGGGATGGACTCGATGGTTGAACGGTCGGTGGCAGCAGATGCAGAAGTGCTGCAGTTGATGATGGCTGAGCTGGGCTGTATGGACGTATATAGATCTGCACATCCGGAGGGACGGTACTGTACATGGTATGGTTCGGCGGGTAGGCGCAGCCGATTGGACATGATATGGGTCTCCTATTAGATCTACCGGAATGGTAGTGAAATGGCTCTCCTCCCGACGGCGCTTTCAGACCATGTGAAAGTGATTGCAGCTTTCCCAGTAGGCGATACGGTGATGGGCCGTCCACAGCCATCTATCTTTGCGTGGGTCTTTCAAAGCCCGGAGTACAAGCCACTTATTCGACAACATTGGGAGTCTTGGCTGCAAGCACGCCCCCAGGGTCTGACGGACCTGCAATGGCGAACTCAAGGTAATGTGTTGCTTCGTGGGTGCCTGCAAGCGAGACTGACGAACAATTATAGGGCTCATTTGGCCACAGGGCAGGAGTTTGTAGATCGATTAGCAACCCTAAATGGTGGCCCTAGCGATGGGCAGTCGGAGGAGGGAATGGTGGGTGGAAAGACTAGAGGCTGTAAGAGAATGGAAGGAGTGGGAGGTTGTAGAAGCAGCACGGTGGGGGAGAAGGTCGAAAGTATGATGGGCAGTGGTGGGGAAAAAAATGTCCAAGCGTTTCTTCAAGGAGTTGGGTAAGAAGCGAT